CTTCCTAAATATAAATTAATTCTTGTGCGAATGAAGTTTCATCTGNTTGCCGACTCGAACGAGTCTAGATAAATGTACAAAATTGAATTCGATCCTCGAGAAATTTATTGGGATGGAATCGAGTCGTGGATAGAATAAGAAAAAAAGGAACAGATTTATGAAAAAAGAAAGGTCGGAAGGAGGGATAAATTATACGAACCCCCGGTGGAGTCATTAACGTTCAAAAGGGATCTTATTTATACCCTCTTTCCGCGACCTATCTAAGAAATGGAAAATCAATTTCAAAGGTTACTCTAACTATGAATGTTGGTTAATCCAGTTTCCACACTCCATACATCACATCCGGATAATAACCGATCCACGAATCCACGGCTCCTTTGTTCTTTTATCTATCGGGCTAGGATCAATTAGATTTCACCGTGGAACGGGTGGAAAAAAGAGAAGTAAAGGAAAAGGGATAAGAGAAAGAGGGATCGAGCGTGAATCACCGGAAGCGATTTCTTTTCTGGGAGAGAATCGCTTTGAGGGGCGACATGTCGGAGACTTTGAGCGCGAGAAACGAGGCTGTGACTCGTGCACAGGTAGAAAGCGAAGAAAATAGAAAAGTGGCGGGCTGCTGGCCACCACTCTATACACCACATGTATAGAGAGATCCTTTGGGGTTGATGTCGAAAAGAGGCAGTGCAGGGCCACGATGTTTCGCGAGCCGGCGAAAAAGGGTCGAGGGTGAAAAGGACAGAATTGAATTCACTGTTGGTAAAGGGGAGAGAGGGGTGATACGGTGCCATTATCAATTTACAGGGATCAAAGGCAGCGTGACGCGACGCTAATTAGTCCGCTGCAACGTGACGCTGGAAACAGCCACGTGCAAGTTTCGAATGCTCGAAATATACTCACTCGTACGAAAGGATACGCGAAAATCTAATTGCGGCCTGGATCTGGACGGCAAACAACTTTCCACGATTTTCGAATGGTAATTTCTGGGCGGAAGGATATTTAATCGTGTCGCGATATAAATCTCGAGTTGCTTTTTAATTTTATTCCTTCGTTCGCAGTTTTTATCCCGTGATTTCATCCCGTGACGTTGAATACGAAAACACGTTTAATGTATACCTTATCATCTCCGAATGATCGTGTATAAATTACGAGCTAAAATTTATAGCTCTTTTTTTTTTGATCCTTACGACAATATAAATTTCTTAGAAGCTTAGAAGAAGAGAAAACGATCGAAGAAATAATGGAGCAATCAGGGTGACGAAGGGCGAAACAATCTGGAATTTGTTACCCCCTTCCCCC